AGAATCTGTGTGTGTCTGACTCTGCTGTGTACTACTGTGCTCTGATGCCCACAGTGACTGAAAGTCATTCAGCTCTTACAAAAAAAACTTAATCAGTGCAGATCTCCATTTTATCAAACAATCATAAATCAATCATCATTTTTCTTCATTCATTGTCACACATATACAAAAGCTTATTATTATTATTTAATCTATATTTTAAATTAACCAATATAATTAATTTTAAAATAGAATAAATGTTCAATGACAGTCAAGCTTGCTGTGGGTTGGCAGAAAAGGGGGCAGGTCTTGATATCAGCAATCACACCCACATTATTAATATAAAGCATATCAGTTCTTCAGTGCATTCATTAACCTATGATTTATGTACACTTAAAAGTAATTATGGTAGGCTATAATTTATCATTCAAAACATCATAGAAGGACTGCCCACTTTTAAAAACAGTTTAGATCTGAACAATCTACATGGAAAGATATATTTTGATCCTCATAATCACATCAGGTAAAACTCAGGTTTAGCAGTTCTTAGTTCAACATGTTAAGCAGTGCATTCAATTACATACATGTGTAATTCTTAACGTATCCTTTTTAGTTATATTGAAAGGATTGAGGTTGTCTTATTTATATTACTTCCAGGTGTGTTTTCTGACAGCATTGGACCAAATGAAGAGGATAAGGGTATAACCAGGAAAGAAGGAGAAACTGTGACATTGAGCTGCTCATATGATACAAACAAAAATATTTACCTTTACTGGTACAGACAGTATAATAACCGAGAACCTGAGTATTTATTGTATAAAGGTGCTTGATCATTCAGCGGAGCTGTTGATATATGAGATCATTTCAGCCGACTACATCCCAAACATCCACTGAACTCATTATTAAGACTGCAACTCTGTCAGATTCAGCTCTCTATTACTGTGCTCTAAGAGTAAGGGCCCAGTAATACAAAGTGCCTGAGAGGCTTTACAAAACCTCACACACACAATTCTTGCTTTAAAAGTGAGTAATCAGACGGGTATAATACCACATGTACCACTGAGACTGTAAATAACAGAATGTGGGAACACCTGCTGAACAATTTAGGAGCGCAAGAAGAGAGTAGAGAAATGGTGATATAATAATGAACAAGTAAAAGTACTATATGTTTAGAATTTTTTGTATATTTAATGTCTTGCAATTCCAAGTTTACAGACCCCCCCCCCAAAAAAAAAACATGTTGTGTCATCTGACTTCTTATGTGAAGTACAGAAAATCATAAAAATAGAAGTTATGTCTTCTATTTAGAAGTATAAATACAAATTGTAAAGGAAAGAATAATCATGATTTAATAAAAATTTTAAGACAACCATTTGCCTCTTGTAGATTATTCTAAGATCCACAGTGCAAGATTGGGACAGAAAAAAGTCACTGTGATTAAGTTGATATGCATTGTTCCCTGTTATATTTACATTATGAAAAGAAGAGATGGGATTGGCTATGATGTCAGTGACCACACCCACACTGTTCATAAACCGCAGCACTCCTCCCCACTGCAGTTATTCATCTATGTATCGATTAATTTATTTCATGTATCAAATGTTTACAAGTTTGCATGTATGAACCTCAAAAACGATGAGCTGTGATCAAAACCAATTAAAACATTTAAACCGTGGTTTCAACATGGAGGTGTGTCTGCTAGTGATTCTCATAATTTCAGGTGAATATAATTTACGCTTTAATTATTAAATGTTGCTTTTGAAAAGAATGACAGATTGATTCATGGTATAGGCTGATGGTTTAATGTGCAACTACAATTTTATTACAGGCGTGTTTACTGACAGCATTAAACCAAATGACAAGGATACTAATATGATCAAGAGAGAAGGAGAGCCTGTGACACTGAGCTGCACATATGATACAAGCAGCAATTATGTTTATCTTTACTGGTACAGACAGTATCCTAACAGAGAACCTCAGTATTTACTGCGGAAAGGTGCTCGATCATACAGCGGAAATGAGGATATACCAGACCCTCGTTTTCAGTCGACTACATCCCAAACATCCACTGAACTCACTATTACTGGTGTAACTCTGTCAGATTCAGCTCTCTATTACTGTGCTCTGAGAGTAGCAGCCCAGTGATACAAAATGCCTGAGAGGCTTTACAAAAACTCAAACACACAATTCTTGCATTAAACGTCAGTAATCAGATGTGTATAATACCACATGTACCACTGAGAGTAAATAACAGAACACCTGCCGAACAATTTAGGAGAAGAGAAGGGGAGATATGATAATGAACCAGAACAAATTGATGTTTTACAGCAAAATAAATTTGACGTTATAGAAAAATTTTAAACTTTTAATTTAGTTTCACATTCAAATTAAAACAGACAAAAAATCTTAAAGGGGTAATGAAACTAGAAGCATGTGTCAAATGAATTCCTATGAATTGCAAGAACAATGATGGCTTAATGATTGTGTAGGACAACTGTTTGGCTTACATACAGTAGATTATTCTAAGATCCACCGTGATGGCATAAAAAGAGTCACTTTTTTATAAGGTTGATAAGCATTGATTTGATTCCATTTAAAGTAGTTAACATCAGTTAAATCAATTACATTATTAAATAAAAAGGAATAGAGGATTGGTTGTGATGTTACTGACCACACCCACAGTATTCATAAGAGCAAAGCACCTCCCCACTGCAGTCATTTATCTGTTCATCCATCCCTATCATTTATACCATTTATCAAAAGTTTGCATATGTATGAATCCCAGAAATGATCAACACCAAAACCTCCTAAAGCTGTGATCAAACCAGTTAAAATGTATTTAAACTGAGGTACTGTATTAACATGGAGATATATGAATTCACTATTACTGGTGTAACTCTGTCTACAAATGCCTGAGAAGCTTTACAAAACACACACACACACACACACACACACACACACACACACACACTGTTATTGCTTTGAAAACGACAGTAATCAAATATTAATCATACCACTGGCATATCTTTTGTATACCATTGCGACTGTAAATTACAGAATGGGGTTTTGAAAACGACAGTAATCATCATACCATCATACCACTGGCATATCTTTTGTATACCATTGCGACTGTAAATTACAGAATGGGGTAACAGATGCTGAAAAATATGTGAATATGTGAGAGTGGAGAGGACAGAGTATGTCATCAAATTAGAAGAACTTATGAACATATACTTCAGGTTTGAGACTTCTTTTTTTTTAATGGACGAGAATGTTTACCTACAAATCATATTTGCTTTAAGAACTTTGTTGAGAATCACTCTTATAAACTGAATTTAATAATCATCATTGTCAATGATCATCATGTCAATCAGTTATGGTTGGTAGGCAGTGTAGGAAAATCAAGATCTCATCAGCACTGAGCTGTTCTATAATTCAGCCTCAAAATAAAAATTATTTATATTATTTTACATTTTAATCACTAATATCTTTACATTTTAATCACAAATTACACTTAATCTTAATATCTGTGATGCACAAGCTTTACCAGAAAGATTTAACAGCTACACTGAAAAACAATTCTGTATAAGCAATTTTCATTTAGAAATTTCTAATTTCATAAAGAAACAAGTAACACAACATTCTAAAATAGAAAAACTGAAAGTGTTTTCTTCAGCTTCAAAAAATCATCAATTGCACAATGTAAAGTGAGATTTAAGTCCTCACTGCACCTCACCAAACAGCTCACCAACATGAAAAGGAATGCACTTCAAAATGCCATAATATAATATATAATATATAACATTATGTATACTAATGCATCATTGATCTTTGTAATATAACAAAAGTACAAATTTACCTATAAATAAATGATCATTTCATAATCCATGAAAATAAATTCAACTTCTGTAATTCTATAAAGAACCAGGAGAGGGATACACGTCTAGACTGATGTTGTTACAGTGAGTATCTGACATGAGCTCTGACATGAACGTGATATGAGCTCCTCCCTTGCTTATATACAGTAATGATTGCTCTGAATCTCTCTCTTTTCTCAGTTACTTTGCTTTCACTGATTGATTTGTCTGTTCTTTGGGTACCACTTTATCATCTTGAAGAACAAACAATGAAACTATGGCTGATGGAGACATTAATAATATTGGGATTAGTTGTTCTTGGTATGTTTGGTATATATTACTCTTGAATGTTTGGTTTTATTTCTACATTATAATGCTGTGTGTCACAGAATTACTCTTGTGTGTTAACAGGATGTCAGTCAGATGACACAGTTGATCAGCCATTTAAACATGTTACTAAATTTGAGGGAGAATCAGTAACATTGGACTGCAAATATACTACAGCCTCAACATCACAAGAGCTTTTCTGGTACATACAGAGAACAGAAGAATCTCCTAAACTTGTGTTACAAAGGAATTCATACGGAGGAGGAAGTAATGGAACAGAGTTCCAGGAGAGATTTTACTCTGAGGTGAAACCATCAAAATCAGTTCCACTGATAATCCAGAGACTGTGTGTGTCTGACTCTGCTGTGTACTACTGTGCTTTGAGGCCCACAGTGTTAACAGGAAGCCTCTCTCTCATACAAAATCAAAAGAAACATATACAAGGAAGAGGGAGGAGTGGTTGGACCTGATGTCATTAGCCACACCCACATTAGTAATAAACAACAGACCAACTCTCTACATATAGTAATTAATCCTGAGTAAAACAGTAACGCTGAAAAAAAAAATCCTCAGAACAGATCTGATCAAAAGCATAAACATGGAGAGATATCTACTACTAATTGTCATTACAGTATCAGGTAGAGTCAAATAAAATTTTCATTTTCACATTTTTTAAGTAACAGTAAGCAATACAGAGTAAATATCAAACTATGAAATTACATCGTTTTTGAAATTACATTACATCAAATTTTTAAATGGGCTGGGTTTCAGATGTACTGTTGTGTTTCTCAAATTTATATTCAGGAGTATTTCCTGACAGCATTGGACCAAAAAACAAGGATGCTATAATCAATAAAGAAGGAGAGTCTGTGACACTGAGCTGCTCATACAGTACAATCAGCAATGATGTTTTGCTTTACTGGTACAAACAGTATCCCGACACAGAACCTCAGTATTTA